TTTTTTTTTTTTTTTTTTTTTTTTTTTTTTTTTTTTTTTTTTTTTTTTTTTTTTTTTTTGGTACCAGGGATTGAACTCGGGTCCTTGCACTTTGCAAGGCAGGCCACCGAACCGCTGAGCTAAATCCCCGGCTAGTCTGTTGAATTGATGTTATATTGATAGAGTTTTGAATGTTGAACTAACATTGAACACCTGAAAAGAAACACTTTATTCACAGTATGTTATTAAATTTAAACATTGGTGGGTTCAGTTTATTAAAATTTTGTTAAGGACTATTACATCTATACTCATGAAGCATAGTAGCCTATAGTTTTATTTCCTTGTAATGTTTCTGTCTGGTTTTGATATCAAGATAATGCTGACCCATAATTTTTGGAAGAATTTATATAGAATTTGTATTTTTTTGTAAGTTCCTGATAGAATTCAATAGTGAAGATGGTCTGGAGTTTTTGAGGGGGTGGGCTTTTAAATTCTAGTTTAATTTGCCTTAACTGTTATTGGTCTACTTAAAATATTTTTTCTTGAGAAAATGTAAATAGTTTGCGTCTTATGAGGCATTTATTCATTTCCACATGTGCTACAAATACATTAGCAAAAGTTGTTCATGCTATACTCTTGGTATCTTCCTAATTTCTACAGGACATAGCAATATCTTTCTTTTAATCCTGATGTTAGTAATTTGTATTTTCTTCTTGTCTTGATCCAATATAATTAAATAATTTTTTCATTTTATTTTGGTACTGGGGATCAAACACAAGACCTTGCACTTGCAAGACAAGCAGCAGCACCGCTGAGCTAAATCCCCCCTCTGTTTATTCTATTTTAAAAGTTTATTAATTTTGTTGGTCTCTTCAAAGAGAAATGTTTTGGCTTCACTAACTTTTAATCTTTTAATTTTATCATGCATTTTATGTTTAAGCTGCTTTACTGTTGTTATCCCATTTATGTCCTTTCTTTGTGTTTTATCTGTTTATCTTGTTTCTGGGCTCTTAAATTAGAAGCACTGATTATTGATTTGAGACTTTTCTTCATTTTTAATACAGTATAGGTGTTCAATAATAAAATCTTTTCCCTAAGCATCGCTTTAACCAAGTACCACAGAGTTTTTAACTGTTTTGTTTTTATTTAATTGACATACAAGGAAATATATATATTTAAAATATTTTATACATTTGTAAACATATCTACATATATGTGTGTGTATATATTCATAAATTCATCTCTAGTTGAGATAATGAACACATACACACATATGCATCACTCTGAAACATTTCCTAATGCTCTTTTATAATCTCTTCCTCCTATCCTTCTTTATGTACCCCACTCATCTGGGCAATAATTGATCTGTTCTCTGTCACTATAGATTAGCTTGCTTTTCTATACTTTTATACAATTGAAACACTACAATATCTACTCTTCTTTCCTAAACAAGTATTTTGAGATTCATCTATGCTGTAGTATATATTAATAACTAGTCCTTTTTACTGCTTAATAACAGATATTTACTCATTCACCTGTTGACTTACATTGTCACTAGTTTAGATGATTATGTATAAAGTTGCTTTGGTATTTGTGTTTCTTTTTCTCTTAATATATGCTTTCATTTTCACTTGGATAAAATACATAGGAATGGAAAGGGTGAAACATACACTAGATGATTTAAGACACTGAAAACTTATTATTCAAAGTAGCTACATTCTCCACCAGCAGTAAATAGGAATTCCATTTTCTCTAGTACTATATTTTCTGCTGAAATTCATATTTCACTTGAAAATGTTATCTGAAAATTTTTTCTTAAACATTTCAAAACACTTAAGACACCCATTTTCATTTATAAATCAAAACCTTTCAAGATACATAATTACTCTTTAGATAAAATAACATGCTGGTGCACTTTTATGACAACCATAAGCTTCCCAGTTGGTGAAGCCCAATTTGGTGTCAAAGCTAAGATGTGAGCCTGGCTGCAGTGTTGCCAGCTGGCCCAAGGGAATGGGATGGTCTGCAAAGAAATGAGAGGAGAGCAACTCTTGCTGCAGCATCTGGTTACATAGAATGATATATTCTAGTTTTTGCCTTCAACTGTGTAGTGTGTGCCATCCTTGCCCACGTATATTCTGGTTGGTGAGACCATAGTCACACAAGAATAACAGCATAGAAAACAATAAGTGAATAAGACAGAATATTACACAGTTCTAGTTGATATCTTCTACTTCCATGTCCCTTGCCAAGATAAGACTCCTACCCAATGCAGCCAGTATCAGGCAGTTTGGATATAAAGCAGGTCTTTTTCTTTTTCAGCAGTCTGAAGGAATTTATTTGAGAACTTCAGGCAGGTGAGTGGTACTCATACTTGTAATTGTAAATAAGTGTTACAATTTATAATTGTATTCTCTTTTATGTATTTTTAAACTCCTAGTGGGCTTTGTCATGATAAATGAGTTTTCTTAGAGTTTTTTAATTAAAGGGTCTTGTTTTGGATATTTTCATAATCCATTTTACATGTTAGTTACCCACAGATAAAATATGAAAATATTAAACTTTTCTCATATGAATAACAACGTAGCTCTAAAAGTCCACCTGGGTCAATCCACCTACTACTAATTCGGTAAAAAATTCCTTCAGAGCATTGTCATGGTATGTGAGAGACTGCTTGGGCCTGCATAAGATGGCTGCCCTCAACCTTAGCCTTTGCCTCGGTGGAAAAATCCCACTAGACTACATATGTGACTTTTGGCAGGTCTAGCCCCTGGGCAAACAGGAAATCTTACAGAAAAAAAAATGGCCCTTTGTGCTAACCACAGCGTCACGGGATCTGGAGCAGGAGGCCGGTGGTATTTCCTTGTCCTGCTTGCCCCTAGAGATTGTGAAGTTAAAGATCGCATAGGGTTAACTATTGATGTACGCCTTCCCACTTACCCCTCCCCACATTTGGTAAAATACTGATTGCTGTATGCTGATAAATGCTTTGTCCCTTTATGGTTAAATGCTTGAATGACTCATGTGATTGGTAGAGGATTTGTTTGAACTGTCCAATAAGCTTGCTGAACCTTCCCCCTGGGATAACAGTATATAATCCGTTTTGCTGAGCCAATAAAGCGCCTTTGATCAGAAACCAGACTTGGGCCGTGTACTCTAACTTCTTAAAGATTTCCTCCACAGACATTCAAGATCGGATCGGCCTCTGATGACCCACGAATAAGAGGCGGCTTTCACCTCCTATTCCCCGCGGGACGGGGTCCCCCCAGAGAGCCGCAATGGTACATACCATGACTTGTAAACACTAAATGGTTTGAAATCTGATTAACTAAAAATACCTCGACTTATGCTTACTCTTGACAATAAAAGTTGGTGAAGCTACACTTGGGATCTTGGTAATCAATGACTAATGCTTTCTTCTAACGTTCTTCAATCCAGTCAAAGCCAGACAGAATCCTGTTAATCAAATATTGTGGAATGTTAACATCCACATTATCCCAGTCAGGAAACATCTAGAAGGTAGCCTGTGATTACCTTTTTTTTACCGTTGGAACAAAATTTTAGTCAGATTAGTGACTAAAAATGTATTTACAATACATTGGTGGATCCCAGCATCCATCGGTGTAATTTAATTTAATAAACATTACACAAAAAGTCCGAGTAGCTTAAAAAGTGACTAGCTAAGGTAACATGAGTGATGAAAAATACAGGGCAATTTTCAAGGTGATTGAATTCCAGAGTGAATAAAATTCAAGGTAGTAATAAACTATGTGAAGAAGAGCAATACCTGGGTCTATTTCTGTCCAACTTGACCAGTGCGACCAAGCCAGATCTTTACCAGACACCTACAGGTCTGAACGTATTGGCAGCTACCCAGTGCTCCTGAGAATGAGGAGACCAGAGTACTTTTTCAGTAAAAATGAAACAACAGATTCTGTCCTAGATGTGCTACGTGCCATGCAAGTGAGACATCTTGTGTTCCACGCCTAGGATCCATAGAAGCTTTTCTTCCTTGAGCCAGCATGATCTCTTACAAGGAAAATTAGAGTCAAACACAATCTACACTCAGGCTACAGAGGCAGTGTACATTTTAACCTTGAAATTAAAATACTTCCACCACTTGAGCTAAGGATGAAATTTTTGTCTCTTTTTTGAAAGTTTTAGACTTGAAATATACAAAGGATGCCTCAAAATAATAATTTCAAAGGCTCATCAATTTCCCAGGCTACATTAAAATTTTAAATTAGAGCTATTATGTTTTTGAAGTTGATTTTAAATCCAATTTGATAAATATTATTGAGAATCTATTGTCTGCCGAGTGGGAAACTAGACTCATTGCTGCTTCAAGAGAGTTTTAGTCTTGAGGAAAACAGATATATTTTAACAGGGTTATTTGGCATGTTAGAAATTAGAAAGAGTATCACACGTAATTACAGGTATATTCACATACCAAATTTCTGAATCTCCTGTGCATGGGCAAAGAGCATGAAGAGAATGTGGAAAAGCAGATGGCTACTCTGGGGCAGTCGCATACAGAAATAAGGAAAGGGTTCTGCAGCATAGAAGTCCTTCTGCCTCTCACTGGTACCATGCAATGGAAATGTAAAAGGAACGTGGATACCTGCTGCCAAGTACATTTAAAATGGTTCTGGAAGAGAAAGAAACTATATGTATCACTACAACACACACAGAGCTTAAGAATGAAAGCAGCAGAAACACAAGCAGAAAGTAATAGGTCCATGGTTCCAGAAATGGTCCTGAGGGGCTGTCCAATCCTAAGCAAGGAGAAACTAGTGGCAATGGAACTTGATCTGGGGCATTTTGAGGCTTAAGCTTTAAACAGAATCTCAACCTTGCAAATAATGTTTTTGCTTGAAGCAATCTTGTCTTGCAGTGAAGCACTGTTGGGGTCCAGAGGCTTTAACCAGTTGCTGCCATGCTAGGGAGACTTTCTGAAGGGTGTGACAATTTTGAAAGGCCTGTGTCAGGCAAAGACTCTGACAGGCCTAAGAGAAGGAACTGTGACAGGTCGCCTGTTATCCATGCTGCTGGCAACGCCACTAGCCCAGCCAGCCAAAGAAAACGGGCTGCCAGAAGTAACAACGTAATGGACTTCCCATGAGAGAATATCAGTTCTGGGCGATTTGGTGTTTTTAGAGAAAAGATTCATGCAGCACAGTCACCATGAACATTAAGACCTGAACTGTTGGGGCTTATGGATTCAGAATGGGGCAAGGAGTGATTATTGAAGAGCTGATGCATCAGTGCAGAGAATTTATGTTCCCAAAGGAATGGTAAGGTACAAATATTGGGGAAAGTATATAAAAGTTCACACTTGAAAGCATGGACTGTCAAAGTCTAAGGATGCTTCATGGCGTGAACACAGAGTTTGGAATGAGAACAAGGATTTAGGAAATGTAAACAATGTTACTGACAATCAACAGCTATACTGTTGAGTCTCAATAATGAGAAGACAAGGTGTATATAAGATTTTCACACACATGAGTAACCCTCAAGAGTCCTTGGCTAAACAGTCTTGAGCTGGGGTCGATGAATTCACTGTGATTCTACATTTCCTCACATTTCCATAGGAACAACTTTACTGTTTGGCCACACATATTCTGACCTTTATTAAATGTTTTTTGAAACTTCTAAATAAGATAATAAGCTTTCTCAGAGATATAAGTAGATTCCACATTTTGAATAGTTCTTAGGCTTACAAAAAAGGAGTGAATCTCAGGTACAAGCTTTGTAAATAAGAAACCTCATAATATTTCGCTAGACTTTAGCATATCTTGCACAAGGTTAGTATCTTGGCAATTCTTGGACTGATAAAGGAAGATCTATTTATTAATAAGGAAGCCTTATATAAAAGATAGTATTTGTAGTAGCAACCTATTTCATTTCTCTAAGAGGCTGAAGAATCGTTTAATCTAGGAGTGCCAGATGTCATTCAAAAAGAATTCAACACTCTGTATATTCTTGAACCCAGATGCCTAGGAAATGTCAGATTACCAATATTCTTGTGAAATGTGTAGTGGAAACTGTTCGTTGTTCATTCTTAGGAAAAGTAGCTCCAGGCTTGAGCATCCAATTTTAGCTACAAGTCCATTTCCTTACTTAGCACGGCTTTTCTTATTAGCACTGGAAGTTTTAGGTGGGAATCCAAATGTATTCCTTCCATAGCAAACTATTTAGAATGAACAAGTGCTAAATGCTCTTTTAAACAATATATTCTTTATGGCTTTCCATCTTGGATAACTGTCAGAGTAAAACCAATCTCCAGAAGCCACTGATTTAAACTAATGTTTGGTTTATTGTGTTAATGTAAGTTCCAGTGTTAAGTTGTGAGAATTATAGTTGGGTATCCCAAATGACAGAAAATCTGTATTTATCGTAAAGGGCTTAACTTGAAGGGCTATATGGTTCTACCCATAGGTGACATGTCCAGTGAGTGGCAAATTAGAACCTAAAGCAGAATACAAAAAGAATAAACTTTAGAAAAATCAGTATGTGATTGTGAGAATTGTACAAAGCAAAGCAGAAAGGGACAATTCAGTACTGCCTGGAGATTATGATTTGTTGTCATGTTGTAGCTTTCATTACTAAATTAAAGTAAAGAAAACAGAATTGGCTTTTGTGGCCACACTGTTCAAATATTTCTTGCTGCGTCTAAAAAAAATCTTACCTCTTCATCATGACCAAGAGACTTACATGTTGCGGCTTTGGCAGACTTGTCCAGTCTCATCTGCTGCAGTTTCTATCTTTGTGACACTCCAGTCACAGGTTCTTCTTTTGGCTGTAGAGAGATCGTTAAAATGCTGATTTTTTTCCCTTCAAATGCTTTCTATGATCCCCTCATGTCCAGTTCTCCCTATACTGTGGATGGCTCCAACATGTCGTTAAAGCCTTAGCTTCATTTTCCTGCACTACGGGAGGTCTCTCCTGAACAATTTTAAGTGACTTTCTAGCATCCCAAAGACTCTCTAGCGTTTTTTTCCCATCTCCTTTATTTTGCTTCATAATACTTATGATGCAAATTATCCCCAATTTCTAGTTTTGTGTTTCTTTTAATTGGACTCAAACACAGTTGGAAGCTAGTCTGTCTTGTCCATAACTTATTTCAGGCATGTTGGGGCCCATCACATGGAAGAAACTTAATAAACATCTGTAGACAAATAGAAACTCAAATATTGTGAGTAGTTGGATACTAATGTTGAGCTTACGCAAATAAATTTTCAAGAATCCAACCAAAGAAAGTTTATATTCACATTGTCCAGTTTTTATGCCCACAAGTAACCTTCTGACAAGTTTAAGCAGAACTTCATCCCTGTTTATCAATCACTGCAAGTTTCTCATCTAGCCGCTGCTATAATTGTCTTAGATATTCTGTAAATGACAATGGAAACGTGAACTCTGTCCATGGGACCCACACACAGTTGACCACATATCCACTAAGGCTTCATTTGGTCTTCAGGGTGTTTGGACTGGCTGTCCGTCAGGGCCCGGGATGTTGATCACTCGGAACAGGAGTTGGCGTCCAGTTAAGGAAGCTTTCTACATCTGGATCAGTAGTTCTGTTTCAAGTGCTCAGAGCTGCAGAGGATTTGAACTAAACCACAACATCCCAAGGAGGAAAGTGGAGAATTGGGAAGTCAATTATCTATAGATGTAATCAAAATACATCAGCCCTGTGGGTGTTGATTTGAGGGAGGCTGCTTTGGCTTAGGAACTGAAAGGGCAAAGATGCTTCTGAGGCTTTGGTGACAATCAAGAAAAGATCTGCTGACAGAAAATCACTGGACTTGGCTGTAGTATTCTATTTAATTGGAAAATATTTTAGGGTAGGCAAGTCTTAAGGGAGAGCTTTAAAGCATATTGTCCTCAATTAAATATTTTTACTACATACCTGCAAAGGCAAGATGTGGAACAGCTACCACATGTCACCAACACACACATGAAAGTTAACTTTCACATTTCTGCACACTTTGTAGAGCTATTATTTCTGTACAACTTGGTGATTCAGTTATCCTGAGACTATGGGAACAAAGCAAAATTATATTGTTGGTCTTTCCTTTTCTCCTTCAAATCCTTTTCTCCCTTTCTTCCTTCACTGTCTCCCCTCCCAATCCCCCTCCCCCCCCCTTTTGCCCCTGTTTCCTCTTTATGAGAATCTGATTTTGGAATCTTCAGTTCACATGTTCAATTACTGTGATA